TTTTCCTATTGGGCCTGTGACTCTGCATGTTCCTCTGTCTGGGATTCTCCACATCCTTTATCCGGGGTTAATTCCTATTGCTCATGACTTAGAGTCTACCTTTTCCAGGAAGTAATTCTGGATTACCATCTGGGTTGGTGCTTTTCCTCTGTTTTTCCATAGTACTCTGCTTTTCCTCTTCTTACTGACCTCCTGTCATAGGTTATCACTATATGATTTCCTTATCATGGATCCCTCTCTAGTCTGAGAGTCCCTTGAGAATGAGGACTTTATTCTTGCCCCATATTAATTGAGGTATAATTCACACATAATAAAATTTTGGAATGTCAGATTGATAAGGTGGACAAAGGCAGACAAGTGTACCCATCACCACAATCAAGATGCAGGACAACAACAACAAAAAAGATACAGGACAGTTCCAGCATCTTAGAAAGTTCCCTTGTGCCCACTTATAAGCATACCCCACCCCCAGACCCTAGCAACTACTGATCCGTTATCTGTCCTTATCCTTTGGTATTTTTTAGAATGTCATATGAATGTCATCATACAGCATGTAGTCTTTTGTATCTGACTTCTTTCACTTCATTTCACCAGCAAAATGCTCTGGGTATTCATCCACTTTGTTGTATGAATCAATAGTTGATATATTGTGATGGCTGAATGTGTGTCCATTATAGGAACATACTAAAATTTGTTTAACCTTTCACTAGTTCATTTTAGTGTCCAGCTTGGCACTATTTTGAATCAAGATTCTACAAACATTTACATACAAGTCTTGTTGTGTAATTCTTGTTTTCAGTTCTCTTGGATAGATTCTAGGGCTAGAATTGCTGAGTCATTTTACAAGAAATTGCTAAACTATTTTCCAAAGTTCTAAAACATCTTCCAAAATGTCTCCTTTTACATTCTTACCAGCAAACGGATTAGTTGCTTCACATCATCATCAGAACTTGGGATTGCCAGTCTTACTTTGATCATTTAGTGAGGGATGCTGGTATTCCATTGTGTGTTTGCATATCCTTGAAGATGAATGATATTGAGTATCTATTCATGTTCTTATTTGCTGATCATATATTTACTTTGGTAACAGGCCTTTTTTTTGCCATTTTTAACAGATTGTCTTATTATTGAGCTGCAAGAGTTCTTTATATGCATGGGTAAAAATCTTTTAAGAGTTATGTTTTGCAAATATTTTCTTTCAGTCTGCAGTTTTAAAAATATTTTCTAAGTGTGATTTTTAAAAAATTAGATATTTATAATTTTTATGTATCAATTTTATCTTTCATGGTTCATGCTTATTTTGCTCCTTTAAATCTTTGCCTAACCAAAGTTATGAATATTTTTTTTACTATGCTTTTTTAAATTATTTAACTCCTGTGTATAGGACCAAAATCCATGTAGAGATGATGTCTATCTATGATTGTGCAGTAGGATTGAAAAAAGTAATTTTGGATATGGTTCTAATTTTTCCAGCAACATTTAATAGCAATACCATCCTTTTCCTTCATTGAATTGTATTGGAAACTTTGTCAGAAATTAATTGGACATCCCCCCGGGAGGTCCCAGATTGGAGAGGGTGCAGGCTAGGTTGAGACAACCAATCGATGTTTTTCTCCCCCACCCTCTGACCTTCTTATCTCTTTAAAATCAATAAAAACATATCCTCAGTGAGGATAAAAACATGTGTGTCCTTATGTGAAGATTTAAAATATATATATAATCAAAGTGGGAAAGACATGAGAACATTTTAGGGATGTTACATTCATATTTTCTAGAATGGGAACATTTAAACCATGCTGAGCCTCAGTTCCTATCTGCAAAATGAAATGCTAATAAAGTTGTGAGGATTAATGAATGCATGCAAAATGTCTAATATATGATAGGTATTCAAATAGCTGTAGTAGTGACAGAGAAAAGAAAGGCAGGCTGTAGATAGAAGGAAAGAAACCCATTCTCACTAAAAAGGGGCGGAACCCCACCTTTAAGGTCTATAATCACCTCTCCTGCAGACACTGTCACTGCCCAGAGAGCAGGTTGGTGGGTCTGAGTAATGGAACATCACAGTGTGTGCCCAGCCCATCTGAGTGACATAATAACCCTGTGAGTGGTGTTATATTCCCCATTTTACAGGTGGGAGAGTAAAAAGTCTTTGTGGCCAACTGGTTTGCAAAGGACCAGCCCCGAAGTGGCTAAGTCATGGCTAAAACCCAGCAACTGTGACTGGATTCTGTGGTCTGCCACTGAGCCAAGTGGCACAATGAATCTGAAACGCTGGGTGAGCTCCTGGCATATTCTCTGGCCATATTTCTAATGAATAGGCCCGTAGCTTTAATGAAAGGGGGAAAAAAAGATTATTTCTCTCAACAGCTGCAAATTATTTACATAGCATTTGTGGCAATGGCTAATAAAAAAGCAAAGGAGTGGGGACACCCCAGGTGGCTGTAATTATTTTGAGCCCATAATGAAGCACCGGATTAAATACCAACCAGTGACCATGGATGAGTATGCGGCCCCTTTCAGACCTGCTTTAGACAGAGCCGCTGTCTGCCCTGGGAATGATTCAATCAGCAGAAATGGACACTAGTGGACAAGATCTGAGCATAGCAAGGCATGGGTCCCTGCCCCACTAAACTACCTCTGGGTTAGTTCATAAAAGCTGTGGAATAGGTGAGAAGGAGCACAAAGGTGGCTCAGGTTGAGGAACAAGAGCCATTGCAATGAGGCCGTTCTCAAATCTAGAAGCTCATGTTTTCTGAAAAATATGTATTAAAACACACACACACACACATATATTATATTATATTATATTATATTATATTATATTATATTATATATATATATATATTACAATGGGTGTTATATATTAGAATGTGTATAACAATATGAATGTGTGTGTGTGTGTGCTTTTTGGATATGGAGTATGGAAGAGTTTTTGTTTTTCTCAACTATTGGTTATTAATGCTGTGGTCATCTTGGAAAGTCACACCCATGGAAGTGTCTTCATTGGTTTATAATAATCACATCTACCTCTCAGGTTGTCTTGTGGAGCATTATGTGTGTGATGACACTTTTATTTATTTTAAATATATATATTATTGATTTTTTAACAGAGAAAGGGAGAGGGATAAAGAGTTAGAAACATCGATGAGAGAGAAACATCGATCAGCTGCCTTCTGCACTCCTCCTACTGGGGATGTGCCTGCAACCAAGGTACATGCCCTTGACTGGAATCAAACCTGCGACCCTTTAGTCCGCAGGCCAATGCTTTGTCCACTGAGCCAAACCAGCTAGGACTGATGACACTTATAAACTGTGAAGCAGGGGATGAGGTTTGGCATCAGGATCCTGTTGATTATTTTAGAGCTCCCTGTACCCGTTTTTTGTCTCTAAAGCACCTACTCTGCACCCGAGATTACATGGGGAATAAAAGGTCAAACTGAGGCACTCAGAGTTGAGTAAACTGATGAACATTTTAGAAAGGTCACTCAGGATGCCAGTGTGTAAAATTAGGGTGGGGCAAGACTTCTTACTTGAAAGCCAGTCATGGCTGCTATTTGGATAGGAGATAGTGGGGCCAGGACCAAATAAAGGTGATGGAGTTGGCAGAAATGGAATATTCATCAGTTACGCTTCTCACACAAGAATATTACACTACTAAGGGCACATCTCATTGTAATTGTGGACCCTTCATTAGTCACTGTTGACTGTAAGTGTCTTGTATTCATTTTCTAGAGCTGCCTTCACTAAGTACCACAGACTAGGCGGCTGAGGAAAACGGAAATGTATTGTCTCACAGTTCTAGAGGCCAGAAGTCTCAAACCAGCTTGTCAGCAGGGCCATACTTGCTCAGAACGCTCTCTCCTGGCTGCTGGTGGCTTCTTGACTTGTGACAGCACAACTCCAGTCTTCCCATTGCGCTCTCCCCGTACCCATGTCTATCTCTGTGCTGGAATGTTCCCTTTGTATAAGGACACCAGTCATTTTAGATTGGATCCCCCCCTAATGGCCTCATTGTAACTTGATTACCTCCATAAAGACCCTATTTCCAAACAAGTCATAGTTCAAGGTACAGGGAGTTAGAACCCCAACCTATGTTTTTGGGGACACAATTCAACTAGTAATGTATATTTAATATGTATTTAAGTGTATTGTTCACTAGATAATATATCATTTATCTAGTCCAGTGGTTGGCAAACCACATGTGGCTCTTTGGCCCCTTGAGTGTTCTAAGGCCACTTCTTCAAAATAGACTCGCCCAGGCCGAAAACCAACTTCTGCACATGGGCCACAAAGTTTCAATCGCACTGTATGTGCATGCCTGCACATGGTATTTTGTGAAAGAGCCACACTCAAGTGGCTCGAGAGCCAAGGTTTGCCGGCCACTGATCTAGTCAATATATTGAAGAGAAACTTAAATTGTTGGATAATTTAGATAACACGGTCTTTAAATGATTAGGAAATATTCAAATGTTTGTTCTATCTTTATAGATATGTTGGTATTTATACGTAAACATATGTATATGAAATGCAGTACCCATTTCTAATTGTGGGTCACATTAGGCTGAAGTCAGAAATATGGTTAGACATTCTTCCACACAGACATATTCTGCTAGTCTGTTGATTGATCATGGACGTAAACTCTGAAACATCTATTAATAGATGGTAGTTGTGAGAATGGAAGCTTTTAATCAATGTTTGACAATTTCTATCAAAAAGAGAAATAATGGGGTTGTGGTCAGGTAAACCATGACCTTTTACAGCCACAAACTGTGTTTGCATCTCAGTGCTGGCCTCACTTTCTGTGTGCCTGGAGTGAACTGTTGCACCTCTTTACTTCTCTGGAGCATCCGTGGCTATATAATGAGACTTAACATGCTTTAAGGTGGTTGAATGAGAGCCTAGGACTAGATACATATACAATATTAATGTTGTTATTATTATTATTATGGATTACTTATTCAAATGATGATCTTAAATGTCAATATTTTTTCCTCCCTTAGTCAACAAGCACAAGCCATGGATCGAGACATCGTATCATGGAGTCATTACTGAGAACAATGATACAGTCATTTTGGACCCGCCGCTGGTCGCTCTGGACAAAGACGCACCAGTTCCTTTCGCAGGTAAGGCGATGGCTTAGCCTGGCTGGGCTGGGCTCGCCGTGGAGATGAGCTGGGGACCTCACAGGGCCCAGGCTCCAGCTTTATCGCTGCTATCTCTATGCTGTGCGTCTTAGAGGTCAGCCTGCTATTCCAAAGCTGTCTGTCTCTTCTGATTTCTGGTGAGGATTCTGTATCTCCATGTAGTTTTTGTCCTTGGTGTCACTTCCCATGCAAGATGCTTATTGATTCTTCTTCTGAGAGATGGTGTATTGCTGAAGGGATCCCTGGAAGTTGGAAAAGTTGGGCCAGTAAGTTCCATAGGGGAATCGTCTCTAGAAAGATGACCCACTACCCATATATCCTGGTCAGGTGAAAACTTGTAGCTCGGTAGATTGGCAAGAGGAAAGGGAAAGAAAAAACACTAGGAAACATTTGCTAAATGTAGGACAGAGCCGTGCCCTTGAGCTTCAAAGTGGGTGTTGCGTTTGGAGGAGGAGCCCAAAGGCAGTGCCATTTCGCAGTGGGCAGCATGTGGGCAGAGAGCCTTCTCATTGTCTTCAGGCCTACGGCTCCTTCCTCTCTGGCCTGCAAAGTCCAGGTCCCAGGTGGGAGGTGCGAAGAGTACGGCCATGTCTCATGTTTCCACCCATTTTTGGCAAAGAGAAGGGGATGGGTGATGGCAGGGGGTGGAGAGACTGAACAAAGAATTCCTGAAGATGCCTGCATCATGAGTAATATTGTTAACATTTTATAACTGTCAGGAGACAGACAGGAAATTTAATGAAGGTTTTCAAGATTTCTAGAAGATTGCTTTATGATAGATGGGTACTGAGCTGAGGTTTTCACCATGATGAAGTCTAGTTTTTCTGACAGTTTGTCTGCTACATTATGAGCTCCTTGGGCAGAAAAAAAAAAAAAATTGGTTCTTTTGCACTTTGAAGAGATAAGCTTTGTGAAGGGCCTTTTTTCATTACAGAATATTATAAAGTGAGGAGCTAGGGGAGGGTTAAATTGGGCAAATTCGGCCTTATGTGAAGATAAACCCATAGGCATTCTTGCAGAGCATGGGTGGTCTCAGAAGAAGGCTTTATCTTTTTTTTTTTTTAAATATATTTTATTGATTTTTTACAGAGAGGAAAAGAGAGAGATAGAGAGCCAGAAACATCGATGAGAGAGAAACATCGACCAGTTGCCTCCTGCACATCACCACTGGGGATGTGCCCGCAACCAATGTACATGCCTTTGACCGGAATCGAACCCAGGACCTTTCAGCCCGTAGACCGATGCTCTACCACTGAGCCAAACCGGTTTCGGCAGAAGGCTTTCTCTTGATTTATGTTGAACGATCACCACCTCGGCCACCTGCCTGTGGCTTCCATGGTGTGTGGAGTTGGGACATTTCCATTCATCCTCCTGCCATCCTGAGTCTCAGTTCAACCAGATTCTACTGGGAAGTATAAATCCCACGCTGATTTTTCCACAAAAGACCAGGTGTCTTCCCCAACCCCTCTGCCAGCCTGAGACTTCCAACTCATCACTTTCTTGGATATAACTAAACGGTATTGGGGTTAATCAGCAATTCTTAACAATCCCCAGAAATGAGATTTTCAAACAAACACTAGCAAAAAAAACACTTGGGTTAGGAATACGTTGAGTTTGGCATACACTGTGTGCTTAAAAAAATCAGACATTACCTTTAGCGATTGGGAGATTGAGCCTAAAAAAAAGGAGGATTCTGGCTTATGTTGATGAATCAGGTCGGAATGCAGAGCCAAGGTGCGACTTCCCTCTCCAGACATGCCATGTGCTCCTGGCTCCCCCACCTCTGCTACCCCACAGCCATGTGCAGAGTTCCTTCCACCCAGCAGGCCCTCTCAGCCACCTTCCCATCCCATTGTGTGGTCCCTGTTTGAAACACAGCGGAGTAAACCAGTGACACTGTAAATGGTGAGCAAATGGGTGCTGTTAAGCCAAGTTAGTGTAGTGAGGCTAGTTAGCTCTTTAAGGGGTGAGGGGTGTGTCTGATTGTTATGTTTGCCCTCAGGGTAGCCTGTTTCATCATTTAGTGAGCTAGGAAATGAAAGTGGTTGAAAAACTGTTCTGCAGTCCATTGATATGCTTTCCAATGTACAGACCCAAATGGGGATGGGGAGGTGGGGGTGGGGGTAGAGTAGAACCATTCCAAGCAAATCTGGTCTTTGAACGTTTGGATTTACAGATCACTTACCTTCTTTGGGGGTAGGCCTCAAAGACAATTATCAGTTTTACCTGAAGCGTCACCAAAGGCTTTCCTTAAATCACAAACCTACCAGATGCCATTAAACGTGAATTTGTTTTCAAACCATTGTATGTGCCCGTGGGTTTCCAGGCACGTCTCGAAATGAAGGTTTAACTTCTAAACCAAGCCCCGACTCATGATTTTCATCTGAAGGCAATTTCTATATTACCCCTGATAGTTGCCGCTGTATTAAAAAAAAAAAAAAAAGTCTTGCTTAATGCATCAAACTATAATCTTCCGAGCTCTTAAGAGCAAAAAATAAAGATGCTTTTTAAAATGGCCAGAGCTATTTTTCTCCATGTTATTTATGATTAGCGCTAAGGCGGAACACAGGCACTAGCCATCCATCTATGCTGCAAGCGCTTATTTTCAAACATTTATCTTAAAAAGAAAAATACAGATTTATTTCAGATCCCTATCATTCTCATAAAATTGGAAAATTCATATCTGCCAGCTCCATCACTCCATGAAGTCAACTGCAGCCTCTAGCCCCCTCTCCCCGCTTATCAACTGCTCTTGTATTCTGTTCCTTCCCACCCCTTTCCCACCGGTCTGCATTTCCAATTTAGCCTGTGAAGTGAGCTAGAAGCTTTGGGAGCGATGGTTCCATTTGTATTATTTTTGTTTATTTGTTTTTTCTTGTGATTTCCACTTCTCCCTTAGAAAAATTTCTATGTAAAGTGTCATTTGTTTAAATAAAAAAGCATGATTCCATTTTGTATATAAATGCAGGGATTTAAAATAATTTGTATTATGTAGCTCCAGATTTTGACAATAATAAGTGTTTATTGTAGGAAATGTGAAAAATATAGCAAAGCACCAAGGAAAGTATAAAAATGTTTTCTTAGCCCTAGAGCTTCTGTTAACATTTTAGTGTATTCCCTTCCACTCATTATTCTACTTTTTTCCTACTTTAGAGTCAATATTATAATTTATTTTTTCCACTAAAAAATGAAAATACACCATTTTATTAAATACTGCTCTGCAACTGATTAAATAGATGAATGCCTTCCTATTCAATTAATATTCTATAATTTAAAATTCTTTTCTTCAACTTGAATATAATCAACATATGACATTGTGTAAGTTTAAAGTATATAATGTATTGATTTGATAAGTATACTATTGTAAAATGATTAAACCATAGCCTTACCTAACACATCCGTCACATCACATAATTACCACTATGTGTATGTGTTTGTGTGATGAGAACATTTAAGATATTCTCTCTTAGCAATTTTCAAGTATCAAACTCAGTGTTGTTAACTATAGTCATCATGCTATGCATTAGATTCCCCAAACTTAGTCATCTTATATCGGAACCTTTTCCCCCTTTGATCAACATCGCTCTATGTCCCCTACCCTCCTCCTGGTCACCTCTATTTTACTTTTTTGTGTCTGTGAGTTTGGCTTTCAAACCTGATTCCATTTATAAGTGAATCCACATATAACTGATAACATATATGCGATATAAGTGATTCCACATAATAGTGATACCACATATAAGTGATGCCATATAAAAGGACCTACATATAAGTGACACCATGCAGTATTTGTCTATCTCTGTGGCTTAATTCACTGAGCATAATACCCTCAACGTGGACCATCTATATTGTAGCAAATGGCAGGATTTTCTTCTTTCTCGTGCCTGAATAGAATTCCATTGCATTCACATATACGCTGTTATCCTTCCATCTGTGGGCAGGCACTTAGGCACTTCATATCTTGGGAATAATGCTGCAGTGAAATTGGAAGAGCATTGATATCTGTTTGCTATCCTGATTTTATATTCCCAGAAGTGGGATTTCTGGATCCTATGGTAGCTCTATAACTTTTTAAGGAACCTCCATACTATTTTCTTTAGCGGCTGTACAGTTTACATTCCCTTTAATGGTACACAAGCAAGTGATTTAGTGACAATATAATGGAATCACCAATTACGGGAGCCTCGCTGTCTTCATCTGTAAAATAATATAAGCTTTCCAGGGTTGCTGTGTGGATTAAATTTAAAGACTGTCTTTGATGCATGTTGTAGTGATTCAAGACGTAGACGTTTAATCAAGTTTAGTTTTCTTTTCCAGATACTTCTCTCTGCCTGTCTCACAGATAAGACATCTGGCTCACAGAGAGTCCCCGACACTTGCTCAGCATCCCGGAGCAGGCCAGCTGCATCTCTCTACCTGCTCTGAGTCCCTTTTCCTTTTCCTATGTATGTATATATTTTACCTTTGTACCTGCCCCACCTGATTCGTGGAGGCACCAACTCTTAATCAATGAGACTTCCCTCAGACCTCCATGAAGTCCATCAGACCTGATTCTGAGCCCAGTGGACATGACCTTCTAAAAGAGTCATATACATAAAAATCCTTGAGTGATAATGAAATGTCTATCCACTGCATGGCAAAAAAAAAAAAAAATGATAATGAAAGCAAATTGGGTACATTTTGAACTTATTAATTTCTACATGAGCCCCACAGAGGCCTGTTAGGAAATTGTGGAGACTTTAAAATTGGAAGGAAATTAGACTGCTGTTCAGAGAAAATAGAACTATTCATTTGTCCACATTGGGTTGGTCTGGGCTTGTCTTTTGTGAGGACAGGGCTGCAGAGAATGAAACGCTTCATTGGCTGGCTTTTTGGGCTGGGAGCCTCTCCGAAGGCTGCCCAGGAAATTTCCTGGGACATGGTTTGGCCTGGCTTGATGGGCAGTTTGCAGCAGGAGGTGCTCTTTTCTGCATGATTAA